GGCCGCCGCGGCGCCCACTACCAACCTCTTGGAAAGGTCACCGAAAGCGCAAGCGCCGCGCGGGGCCCGCCGGGAAGGCGGAAGGAGCGGTGGCGCTCGGCAGCCAGAGCGCCGCCCCGACCGTGTCTGCGCGCCACAGCGCCCCCAGCGGTCTCCCCGGTGCAAGCAGGCCGGCGAACCCCGAGCGGGTGTGCGCGCGCGTGGCGGAGAACGGTGATTAACTGCTCGGGTGTGCCCCGGGCGCGGGACTTTCGGTGCTGAAACCGGACAAGCGGACGAGTTGGTCAACCTGAGAAAAGGGCCATCTTTACGTGCGGTCTTGAAGGCCGAGAAGCCGTCTCCCCTGTGTGGTCTTCTCGCTCTCTTTATGTGGATTAACCGTTGTGTTGTGCACAGGTTCGTGCGGGGCGGGACTCCAGCGCCTACCAGCGTTCATCGGCGGACACCGCGCTTGGCGGACACCGGCTTCGAAGACAGCCCTGCTTACTGCGGGCGAGGAAGTAAGACTTTGGAAAACTTCAGCAGAAAACTGGAAATTGTAAAAACAACCCCCCCCCAAACCCAAAAACCGCTTAGGCGATCTGAAAACGAGCCAAATAGAAATTGGGCAGGTTTAATCTAATCTAAAAGATGAGATTAGAGAGCTAGGATACAGCAGGAAAGTCTCTCAGGTGTGTAATTGGAGGCTCAGAAGGAAAGGAGAGTGAGATGGCAGAAATATTAGGAGAGATAATGGCTGGCTGAGAATTTTTAAAAAGTGATGGCGCAAAAACAGACCAAAGATTCAAAAAGCCTTACGGAAACCCAGCAGGCAGATCAATGAAAATAGACCAACACCTTGAAACATCATCATAAAATCACAGAAAACCAAAAATGAGGAGGAAAATCCCAATTGCCAATCTAGACTTCTATGCATACAGAATTTAACCTTTAATAAGGAAGACAAAGTAAAGACATTTTGGATAACCAAACACTAAGGGAATGATCCCAGTAGATGTGCAGTTAAAAAAAATCAATACTCACTATTCATGTGGAAGGACAGTGAGCTCAGATGGAAGGACGAGGACACAGGAAGGAAGAACAACAAGCAGGGTCCTGCTTTGAAGGGACAAAAGCTTAGGATCAAATGGAAGCTGTATTCACCACCTGAAAATCTTGCTATTTTAGGACAGTGGTTCTCAAAGTGAGGTTTTGGGGGTTCCCAAGGACCCTGGGGATCAAAACTATTCTCATAACAATGGTAAAATTTGGTGATTTGTCTTTTTGGCCAGAATTATCTCACAAGTGTTCTGTGGAGTTCTCCAGAGGCCGACTTGTGACATCACAACAGAATGAATACAGAAACAGATATGGGAATCCACCTATCCCCCATGAAGGCAGACATTTAGAGATCTACAAAAATGTCAGAGTGTCACTCTTTGCACGCATATAGTGACTTTTCATCGAAATATTCCCTTTAACACCAAATGGGTTTATTATTGTTATTTTTAAATGAATAAGTAAACAAAGTGTCTCAGCTGTAATTCCTAGTAAAGTAGATGCAACTGACATGAACAAAAGCGCTCTAGGGGCTTCAGAGTGTAACGGGTCCTAAGATAAAGACCCGGTTTCTGAACCACTGTCTTGGGAAAGAATGTTTGAGACTTATGATATGGTCAGAAACTGCTGATGAGGATGAGCATTTTAGGAACAACTTAGGAGTATCCTCATAATCTATTTTAAGATAACAAAGTTTTTGAACTTCAAACTCTGCTTGAGATCAACAGAATTTTCATGTCTTTTGTTGCTAAGACAAAACACCCTATGAAAAATACATCTTCAAAGGAAACAACGTTTGAAGACAGGGCTACCCCAGATGTATGCAGAGTGCAGAATTCCCTATTTTGCAGCTGAGAAGGTCAGAGAAGACATGAAGGTTCTTGGGACACAGCTTCTCCCACTTTGTCAAGAGTGCTGTTTGCTGGCACCAGCATCATTTGTCATTGTCTGAGCTGCTTGTTTTCCCTTTGGGTCTGTGACTCAAGCTGTTCTGCGGACACCAATATGCAAAACCTTCACCAAGGCTCATGGCTTCCTCTGTGCTCAGGTATAAATGTCTACAAGCCTACTGAGAACTGTCAGACTGTCTCTTTCTACTTTGGATAGGAATGCAAGTTGAGCTGTGCTGAGTATGAAGCACCGAGAACTACCATTCAAACGAAGGGGGTCAAAGCTATTCTCTGTGATGCCACGGAATGTTAGCTACTACTCGGGAAAATGGCAATGAAATGAGAACAAATTTTGGAACTGAAGCATCAGGTCAGTCTTCTTGTACTGTAGTTAAAAACTCAAGACTCAAGAGGACTGAGGCGACAGTAACCTGAAAGGTTCAAAGAACATAGGAAGGGCCTTCCAGTCACCTTACACATGTTAAAATAACGAACATAAAATAAGACAAGAAATAAGTGTTGTCAAGAGAAACACTTGGGAGAAAAAGGAACCCTTGAACACTGTGGGTGGGAATGTAAATTGGTGCAACCACCATGGAAAACAGTATGGGGGTTCCTCAAGAAAGTAAAAATAGAAATAGGATATGGTCCAATAATTCTAATATTGAATATTGGCCCAAAGAAAACAAAAACACTAATTTGAAACGATAATGTTCCTCTATGTTCATTGCAGCCTTATTTGTGATAACCAAGAAGTGGAAACAGCTCAGGTGTCCATTGATAGACAAATGGATAAGGAAAACACATGTGTGTACACACACACACACACACACAGGACTGTTACTCAGCCATAAAAAGGGTGAAATTGTGCCATTTGCAACAACGTGGATAGACCTAGAGGGTATTATGCTAAAATAAATAAGTCAGAGAAAGGAAAATACTGCATGATTTCATTTATATGTGGAATCTAAAAAAATGAATAAAGCAACAAGCAGAAATAGACCTGTAACTACAGAGAACATGGTGATGGCTGCCAGAGGGAAGGGAGATTGGGTGAAATGGGTGAAGGGGTGGGAGGTGCAGGCTTCCAGTGAGGGAATGAATACGTCACGGGAGTAAAAGGCAAACAGTGCAGGGAATATAGTCGATGATGCTGTCATAGTGTCCCGTGGTGACAGACGGCAGCTGCACGTGTGGTGGGAATGGCGTCACATCTAGACGTGGAATCACTGTGTCACACACCTGAAACTACTGTAACATTGTGCATCAACTCTACTCCAATAAGAACAGAACAAGCCCCCTGGAGAGTCTCCTCGGGAAAGCAGAACTCTTTAGAAAAACAGCTGCCACCTGAAAAGGTGCTCTGACGCTGACAAGGGACGATGCGGTGTGGACACACAAATGTGAGTTTTGCAGTTGTGTGAAGTGGTTTCGATGTATTTTGGGACATTTAGAACATGTGCTGGCCTTCACACAAAGTATCAGCTTACGGTATTTTCAGTCAATGCTGAATGACATACCGAGATTCTCCGTGACTCCATGATCACATTTTCATTTATTGCAGAACAGGTTGCTTCCCGTCGCCAGAGGATGTGTGTGTGAGGGACCCTTCTGCCGGCTGCGGTTTTCGGACAAGTCAGAGCAGAAGGGCCAGAGCCCGGAATAGAAACCAGAGGTGTGGTCAGGCTCGGGACCTGGGACCCCTGGGCCCGAACCAGGCTGGACTCATTTTTCTGTGAAACACGGAGAACACCCCCAGCCCCCCGCCCCGGCTGCCTTCTGTCCGCGCTGTCCCAAAGCGGACCTCTTGCTTGCGGCTCTCGGAGCATTTTCCAGGCCCTAGCCAGCCTTCCCAAGGTTGGTCAGCGCCACACTCCGATCCCTCCCGCACTCTTTCACCGTCTTTCCCAGCGTCCACGTGGTGCTGGGCTGGACGCTGACAGTAGGCGGGCTGGCGGGCGACTCCTCGTTCTCCCGGCTGTGCTCCTTCCTTCGCGTGTCCCCGCGGCCTTCCTCCACACCGGCCTCATCTCCCAGCCTCTTTGCTGCGGTTCGGCCCCCGCCTTCACTCTTCTGGAGCTCAGCCTGCGCCATTTCAGCTGCTCTCAGCGTCTTGCCACCTTCCACTCGCCCACGACCGCCCAATCCGTGCCTCTCGCTGTTGCTTTCCCTCTAGCTGCGTGGAGGGCGGTGCCCGTGCCATGCGGATTTAGGGGAGAAGATGAATCCCATTTACTCCTGCCGCGACCCCACAGAATTCCGGGCTCTCTGTCCCGGCCTTCGTCCGTGGCGTACCCTTCCCTGGGGCTCGTTCCCACCCGTCGCCCTTCGGCTGCCTCGTTCCCGGTTACCCCGCACGCGTCCACTTACGTGTCCTCTTCTCCCACAAGTCTTTTCCGACCTTCTTGCTGCCGCCCCCAGGACAGGTGCGAGGTGACCCAGGGCTGCAGCCAGCTGCACACCTCGACGGTACGCACTCACCCCTTTCCCGGTGTGCCTTCCGTCCCCCCGCACTGGTGTACCGCAGCAGGCGCCCCCGCAGCTCTGCACCGGGCCTGGCTCACAGCAGGTGTTCAGAGCATGTCCCTGTCGGCCTGCAGCGCGACGCCGCGGACCCGATCCTAGAGACACAGGTGGAGAGCGAGTCCAGACTTAGTTCTTGCACCCACTGGGGGCTGCTGCCCGGGGCCGCCAGAGTGTCCGCGGGGCTGACTCTGGGACGGCAGCGGGGGCGTACGTCTGCCCCCGCGCGGAGGGGCAGTGCTGGCAGCACGAGGTCCCGGCCGTGTGGGCGCCGGCGCGTTCTGATTGGAGGGCTCGGGCGGGGCGGGACTGGAGGCACGAGACTCGTGGCGCGTGGGCGCCGGCGCGATCTGATTGGAGGGCTTGGGCGGGGCGGGGCCGGAGGCACGAGACTCGCGGCGCAAGGGCGCCGGCGCGTTCTGATTGGAGGGCCCCGGGCGGGGCGGGGCCGCGCGCCCGACGTCTCCACGTTGCGCCGTCGCGTTCCCGCCGGCTTCTGCTCCCGCCGCTCTGTGGGGCAGTTGAGGCGGCGTCAATGCGGCGGGCGGCATGCTGCGCAAGCTCACCGTCGACCAGATCAACGACTGGTTCACGATCGGCAAGGCCGTGGCGGATGTGGAGCTGCTGGGCTCGCCGCCCGCCTTTCCGGCCGAGGCCACCAGGGACGAGGCACAGCGCCGGGACGCGGGCCCCGCTGTGGGCGCCGCGGCTCAGCCCCAGCCGCCGCCCGTGGCGTCCCTGAGGTAGGAGGCGGCCGTGGGTGCGCGGCCTCCGTCGACGCCGCGCGACCCCGTCCCTGCCCCCCCCCCCCCCGGCCGCCGCAGAGCGAGCTGGCGGGCCCCGGCCCGGGGAAGTTGCGCCTGCTGGAGGCCGAGCCACCCCAGACGCCGGTCCCGTGTCTCGGGGTCCGGGGACCGGCCTCGGCCGTGAGAGCCGGCGGGGTTCCGGGGGAGTCAGGCGAAGCCCCGCGTGCCTTGTTCCCGCCTCGCCCGGCCCACAGTTCCCCGCGGGGTGGGCGAGTGTTGGGACAGACCGACCCGCGCGGGGGCGCTCCCTCCTGGAGCTGCTTGGGCGAGGGCTGCGCGCGTGTCCCTGCCGAGCCCTAGCCCCGCTCTGGCCGCCGCTGGTCCTGCACCGGGTCCTGCACCTGCGCGGCGTTTCCGCGGTCTCGTGGCTGGGGGCCGGCTGCTGTGGTTTCGCCGCGTGCACTTGAGCTTCCCCCGTGGTTCGTGGTTCCCGTGGCCTGGTGGTCCACGCTGCGCGGGGGGGGTCCCGCGGGCTCTGCGTTCAGCTGCGGGAGCGTGCCGCGGGGCTCCCGCGTCTTGGCGGTTATGCGTGACGCCGTGGTGGGCGTTTCCGTGCGGTTTCCGTGGGTCGGAAGTTCTCTGGCGGTTCGGGTGGCTGTCGAGCGGCGGGAGAGCTGGACCTTCGGTGGGATTGGCGACCACCCTCCCTCTGTCTTCGACAGAAGCAGCTGCTGTCGGTTCATCTGTTCGCTTTCCGGGGACGCAGGCAAGAGGAGGCCTTCCGTGTTGCAGACTCGGCTCCGGGGCGTGCAAACAGCTGCGCCCGCTGTGAAGCGGGCTCGGTACCTCCGTGTCGGAGCCTCTGCGTCGGCGCTTGGGGCCCCCTCCCCGCGATTCACACCGTTTACAGCGGAGATGCTCTCGTTCTTTACTTTTCAACAGAGTTCTTCTTGTTTTTTGGCCCCATCGAGTTTTCATAGGTTTGTTTCAAGATCTGTAGGCAGCCTTGAGGCCCGTGTACAGTCAAGGGCAACTTGGGATCTTTGGTGAATTTTTTCCTTGGATACAGGGAGGGGACAAGGAGATCCTTGTGAAGGTTGAGAGTGGCTGTTTTGTTTCTGGTTTTGCACACTTTGCTTGGATTACTCTGGCGAGGGACCCCATAGGCTGTCCCCTCCCTCTCTCCCCCTTGCTGGTAACAGGCAGAGCAGTATTGCTTTCAAATAACCCGCTGGGGTAGTGGAAGTAAATTATTGACCTTTTTAGAAACGGAAATTACAGATTTAAATATTCTTCTCACCACTAAGGATCAGTTTTTCAAATTTCTAATCCTTCAGGGTCCGAGAGTTTGAAATATCAATAAAAACGAAATTTCAGAGTAATGGAATGAAAACGGACAAAATATAAGTCCCATCTAAAATAGTCAACATGTAAAATTATTTTGTAAAATTGCCATAAACATTTCAACTTCTGTAGGTAACTGGAAACAGGCAAACAACTAGAGATGGACTTAAACGTTGAGGTTCGCTTGTCTGTACGGTGCTCTGAGTCTGAGGAGTACTTCTGGAAGTCCGTCCTGGGCCCCTGCCACATGCCTAATGCCAGAGTGCTTCCGTGTAGGAGGCATTCAGATAGTTATATTACTGAAACTTCAAAATAACCCGTTGAGATGGATGGCATTATCTTGATTTTACAGAAATCCGAAAGGAACAGACTTGTGTGGTAAAGTGCCTTTCTTAACGTCTTGTGATAAACAGTCTTGGTAGGTAGAATGTTTACCCGCCCCCCAACAAAGATAACACTGGGACCTGTCATTGCCTTATATTAGATGGCAGAAGGGATTTTGCTGATGTAACTAAGTAAAATAGAGGGAGAGTACCTGAATTGTCTAATCACATGAGCTGTATAAGCGGGGTTTGATACGTGAGCCGGACTTGACCAGTTGCTGCTGGACTGGGCCACAAAGGAGACAGGAGGAGAATGTGGACAGCTGGGAGCACAGACGGAGTCCCAGCTGACAGCCATTAGGGAAATGGGGACCTCCGTCTTACCACTTAAGGGAACTGAATTTGACCAACGAGCTGAATGAGACTCGTGTAGTGAACACAGCCTTGCCAACGTTTATTTTCTTCTTCTTGAGAGAGAGAGAGGGAGAGGGTGCAGGGGTAAGGGTGGGGGACAGAGGGAGAGGGAATCTTAAGCAGGCTCCATGATCAGTGTGGAGCCGGATGTGGGGCTCAGTCTCAGGACCCTGAGATCATGACCTGAGCTGAAATCAAGAGACAGAGGCTTAACCGGCTGAGCCACCCAGCCAACATCTTGATTTTGGCCTCATGGGACCTTAAGCAGAGGACCTAGTTGAGTCCTACTGAAGTTGTGATTTACAGAAACTGTGAGGTGACAAGTGTGTGTTGTTCTGAACTGCCGGATTGCCGAGGTTAGGGCATCCCCGGGAAACGAATACAGTGGTAGAGCTGGGATTGATTTAGGGGGAGCTGACCTGCAAACCAGCCTCAACCACAGTGACTGGCTGGTTGTCTGATGTCTTTCCAGAAAGGAGAGTTTGAGGGAGGTTTTGACATTGGTGAGAAAACACTTGGCGGAGAGGAAGACCGGCTTTACGGGCCCAGGCTGTCCCACAGTGAAGCCGGGTGTGAGAGGACAGTGCAAGAGTGGCTTGTGTTCAGTCTCTGGGGTTCAGTCCACACGAGCATTGTTAAATCAGCTTTACAGGTCATGTGAGTGGTGACCACCAGCTTTAAAAGGAGAGAAATAGAACATATCAGGCCCTTTAACACCTTAAAGTGTCCTTTGTCTCAGAGAAAACTTTCCTGTAGAAACTCACCGTTTCAAATCAGTGTATCTGGCGGTTCCTTTTTACGGAACTCAATGTTTCCTTCTTGGTACGTGGATTTAGTGCTTGCTGTGTTGAGCTTTGTGTCAGGGGACACGGGCACACAACAGTCTTGGTCCTTCTGACAGGGGAGTTGCACGGTATAGCTGAGGGCCGGATAACCGGTTGAGAAAGTTACCCATCCGCTGGGTTACTGTGTTGTGAGGATGGATGTGTTTGACTCCAGAGTATCTTACTTTTCCCTTTTTGCCTTGTTGCTTCTCAGAGCGTAGGCTTTGCACAGATGTTAACGATGTGTTATTCTCCAGGGGTTCCTATTTTCTCTTCCCTCATAGAGGCCATGGTTTTTTAAAGACCTTATTGCCTGTTTAGCAGGTTTAAATTGGTAGGTTCCCTTGCCATTAGAGTGTTCAGTGTCTGTGTGCAGCCGGAGTGGAGTGGCTGTGAGAGAGAATGGGGGGCTCCGAGAAGGAGCGGAGCTGGGTCTGGAACTGTCCCTGAAATTAGGGAGGACTTCACTGCTTCATCTGAGGCTACTGAGAACCGCTGGAGGGCATCTGGGGTTTTGAGCAGAGCTGTGACACGACTTAGGGCTCTAATGATCCCTGCTGTGTGGAATAGACGAGAGAAGGCCTAGGGCAGAAACAGGGACATCAGGGAAGAGTCTCTTGGTATCATCTGTGACATCTCCTCTATGTGTCGGCTTGGCTGGTCCATCATGCCTGTATTTGGGCCAACATGATCCTGGATATTTCCGTGAAGGTGTTTTTTGGATGAAATTAACCTTTAAGTTGATGGATTTTTAGTAAAGCAGATTACCTTCCAGATTGGGTGGGCCTTATCAAATCAGTTGAAGACCTGGCTAGAGGGAAGACCTCCTGAAGCAAGAAGGAACTCTGCCGAGTCTCTTTAGACTCCGACTGCCGCCCTTCCTGGGGTTCCAGGCTGCTGGCTCAGCTGATTCTTTAAAACGAATCTCTCTGTCTGTGTACGTGCACGTCTTGTTGGTTTGTTTCTTCGGAGACGCTCACTAACACATATTCCAAGCAGAGAGAGCGTGGCGGGTCAGAGCGGAACTGGGACAGTGGGGGCGGTAAGCAGGCGTGTGGTCTGCGTGGATTCCTCAGCGGAGGCGAGGGCTTTGCGTCTGGATCAGACACGGAACGGGAGTGGGGAAGCGGTCACGGACGACACCAAGGTCTCTGGCTGAGCAGCTGTGACATGCTGCCGTCTTCTGAGAAAGGCAGGGCTGCAGGAGGAGCTGCTGTGTGGGGCTGCCGTAGGAGTTTGATCTGCGCGCTTGGACGTGACGTTACTAGTAGGTGACAGTAAGTGCAGGCATTCTGGCGGCGAGGACAGAAACCTGGCTGGAGCCCGGTTCTTGGCCGTTTAAGGCTTTGAGACCAGTGAGCTCATCCAGACTGCGGGTGGTGCGTCCTAGTGGGTGAGTGCTGAGGGAGACGAGGTCCAAGGACCCGGGCCGGGAGCCCTTGAACATGCAGAGACTGACAAGATGAAACGAACAAAGGAGGGAGAGAAGGGACCGCCTGAAAGCTCAGAGGAAAACCAAGCGGGTGACCCTTCCTCTAAGTAAACAAGTTTGCTTAGTACCCCTGTGTGCGTCCCTTAGTACTTGTGTGGAACTGCTTTATGCTGTTTTCCCCACGTAAGAGCTTCCTGAGGGAACAGATTATCACCAAGTCCCCACTTCTAGCGCCGGGCCTGACATGGGGTAGGAGCGCAGACACTTGTTTGCATGAACGACCTGCCTTGGTGACCCGCGGTTGTCGACTGGGATGCGCTGCAGGTGAGCGCGGCTCCTGCCCACCCCTGCCCCGAGCCACGCGGTCCGCCTTCCTGCTTTGACCACGGCCGACTTCCCTAGGAGGGGGGTGCGTGTGTGCGTGTGCGCGTGTGCGCGGGCGAGCAAGCTGGTGAAAATCACAGTATCCTGGCAACTGCGCTGTGAAATGTTTCCGGAATAAGAGGAGCCTTCCCCGCTCATGCTTTGGCCACTGCACGAACCGCGGCCCCCGTTGCCCGGGCCATGGCGGAAGCCGCCTCCGTTCTCGCCCCCAGCGGCTCATCCAGCAGCTCGGACAGGACCTGCCGCGCGGTCGGCGCGCGGTCACCGGCTGTGGAGCGCACGCATTCTCGAGTAAACCTTCGTCGCTCAGCGTCCTCGGGTCGGCGTGCAGCTCTCTGTGGACAGTTGCCGTCACACGGAGGCGCAGACTGTCACGGCCCGGCCGGCCTTCCTCCGTCTGGCGTCCGCCTGTCTCCCGCTGCACTCGGGCCGCGCGGGCGTTTTTCCTGTGTCTGGAGGACGCGGAGCTCATTTCTGCCTCGCGGCTTCCGCACGTGCCCCTCTACCCGGAGCGCCCCCCGCCCCGCCCCGGGTCTTCCCGCGACTCACTGCCTCCTGCCGGCCCCGTGCCCGCCTTGCTTCTCACAGACTCTCCCGCACCTCTCTCCGCCTCTCCAATCTCTTTCAACATTTTTTCCTCCTCTGAAGCACTTCCACGTGCCCCGGGTCTGTCTTGTGAGTGAGGAGCTCTCGGCCCCCCACCCGCAGGACGGTGCCGAGGTTTCTGGCGCAGAGAGCCGCATGGCTCGGCGCTGGCGGCTCCCTCCGAGCTGAAGGTTTTGAAGAGCCGCGTTTTCATTTGTGTGCGTGTGTTTTAATTCCTTTGTTTCTTTCTTGGTTTTTATTTATCCTTCCAGAAAACAAACCTCTGCGTCTTTGCTTGCCTGTGGCCATCCCAGAGGAGGTGTCAGGTGGGCCCTTGACCGCCTTTGGAGCTCAGAGGGGAAGTCGGGGCTGGAGGCGTGCCAGGGCCTGACAGAGAGATGCACATCCCCGCCTGGTGTTCCCGACACCGGACAGGCCGGCGGATGCGTCCAAGGCTGCTTGTTCATCTGTCAAGTGGGAATAACATCACGCGCTGTCACTGGATGAGGGGCTGCGTGCCGCGCTCCACACAGTGCCAGGCTGGTGGCCGAGTGACTTCGCGGTTAGACGGCCGGGCTTCCTGCAGATGCGGACTCTCCGGAGCTCGCCGTGTGTCCCCTGCGTGGGTGCTTGCCCGGGGGGTAGGGGGTGCTAATGGTTTCCTAGCTCAGGCTTTTAGCCCCTGAGCCAGTCTCTCTCTCTATAGAACAGGCCTGAAGCTCTGCTGCGTTGTTCTTCCCCGTCCTCACCGCCGCCCACCCCCGCTATGTTTTTGACCTTCATCTTCTTGCCAGCTTTACCGACTAAGCAGCCCAGCATGTAGAGCGGGAGCTGTTAATATTCTGGAAGTCACTTGTGTTAAAATTCCTATTTGGTTTGTAGATTTTCTCGGAACAACTGTAGTTTTAAATTACCCCCGTGCTCTCGCAGGAAATGTGGTTATTAGGTTATTGCCAGAGTAAAGTGAGAGATGGAGGCTTTGCATACCACGATGCCGTGCATTTCTTCCGCTGCCCTGAATGTCTGGTTGTGGAACTGAGCGACTGTGTCATGGGGACTTGGAGCAGCGTGGGGGTCGTGCTCCTCCCGGGCTGGTGGGTCGCGCAGCTGTCTGCCGCTTTGCAGCTGCAGGAAGCTTTGGACGGGAGGGACCTAAGAAAGTCCTCTTCTTCCCGGCGGGACAGGGAGACTGGGTCCTCTCAGAAGGGTGGTGGGATTGGTGGTCTTTTGTGTGGTGGCTGATGGGGGTGCTTTGTGGGGAGAATGGACTGTTTGGGGCCTTTTTGTGGTGTGTGTTCACTAATGGGGTGGAGTGAGGTGGACAGTTCTAGTGCCACATGTGACAGACAGATTCCCTGTTGTTTATTTATTTATTTTTTAAAGATTTTGTTTATTTGTCAGAGAGAGAGAGAGAGCGAGTGCACAGGCAGGCAGAGGCAAAGGGAGAAGCAGGCTCCCCGCTGAGCAAGGCGCCCGATGTAGGACTCGATCCCAGGACACTGGGATCATGACCTGAGCCGAAGGCAGCCGCTTAACCAACTGAGCCACCCAGGCGTCCCCTCCCTGTTGTTTAAAGCAGAAATTTTGTTACCACCATTGAGGCAGTAATAATAAAACTCTTGTTTATCTTGTGTTCACTGGACAGTAAGCAGTTATGGGCTTCTGGGGGTACTTGGCTCTCCCACAAAGTTTCTACTCTGAGGCTTTTATAGTGATTAGAGAGTCATAGTTAGCTCATGAAAACAATCAAAAGGGAGGAGGAGCGAGACGTGTCTTTATTTTAGATCTCTTTCGGGCTGTGTCTCCGCTTACCTTGTCTTGCTAAACTCTGGTCCGGCTGGCACCATTTATGACACAGGGTTAAAGGCCAAACTGAGGCCCTTTCAGAATGGTGTCGGGGTTGGCAAAGAGCCCAGGAGCAAACAAGTCAGAAGGGCTTTTTGGGAGCAGATATTGAATTCTAGTCTTGAATAGTTTTCCTTTTAGAGGGGGAAAAACAAATCTCCTCAAATATAAAGTTGTAAATATTGGGTACCTTGGACTTAATTTTTAAGAATGATAAAGATTCTCAGACTTCATAAAAAAAAAAGTAAATCCAATGATTAGTTTCCCTACTTTAATGAAATTATGAAATACTGAATTTTGTATACTGAATATTTGCTATATTTTCAGAGAGAACTGGAGGGGCGGGGGGCGGGGGGAGAGAATCTTAAGCAGGCTCCATGCCCGGCAGGGAGCCTGACCTGGGGCTTGATTCCATGACCCTGAGATCATGACCTGAGCTGAAATCAAGAGTCGGAGGCTTAGTGGACTGAGCCACCCAGGCCCCCCAGAATATTTGCTATTTTTAATGAACCCACTCTCTTTCTTTTTATTGATACCATATAGAGCTCTTTTTTTTTTTTTACTTTCCCATAATGTTAATTGGGATTAAAAATGTAATTTGTAACAAATCTGAATGTTGGAGTAAAACACCTAATTTAGTCTTTAATCTGCACATTATTTCCTCTGTCACAGCCCATCTTCCCCTTCCCTGCTGAGAATGACTGAGCTCGAGTCAGTTCTGTGTTATAGCGTAAAAGTCCGATTCACATCAGTCACTTGTTTTATTCTCTGCATAGCTTCAGAATAAAAGTCAGCTTAATGTCTAATTTTCACACAGAATTTGTCCAATTCCATACTTGTTCCTGTGAGATGTTTGAAGTATAAGAAAATACTTCAAACATTTTTTTCAAAATGTTTAGGAATCATTGTAATTAAAAGTATACAGTTCAATAAAACATTGCATTTTTAGAGTGGATAAAAAAGGGACACTATTTAAAACATCGGATGCATAGTTAAAAACTACTTAACATCTGACTTTGCAACAGAGAAACGTGAAATCACATTACTTTTTCATATTCTTAGTACTAAGAATTCTAAAGATGGCCATAAAAACTCTTCCGGTTATAAGTAACTTAACTCGATGGGTAATAATAGGGTAGGTTCCATATTCTATGTGAGAACGCTGGGAACCTGTTCTTTGTGGTTTTGTCCACGTAGCTGGAAATCGTGGGTATTTCATCTTTATCGGAACTCCTGGAGCTTGTCCCCAGGATCACAGACGGAATGGGACAGTCTGTGTTCCCTGACTCTTCTGGGCCTTCTTGCTGGTTACCTTTGCTAGGACTGGTTAGGAAGTCTTTCAGAACTTGCTTGAAGATGTAGACTATTTCCCATGGCAGTACATCGTTTTCTGCTAAAACTTCTCGAAATCTGTTGGGAAACCAGTAATGAATATTCAGTTCAGAAACTTTCTTTTGTCGTTTCTTTGTATCTGCAAAATACAGCCTAAATACCGTGATCCTATAGTAGTTGCTCGCTGTTTTGCATAATCTGCATATTCCTTTAAAATTATGCATCTTAGTAAAGAAATTCTGCATATGACTTAAAAATATTTCCTAGCCAGCCTGTCCTTGGGGATTTTGGCTCCAGGTTTCTGATACCCACGATTAAAGAATTTACATGATACAATACAGTTTCCCGTCTAGCTGTATGAGGAACTTAGACTCGACAGTAGCAAAATACCACAAAAGAGAACATAGTATTTTTACCTGCTGAGAATAGTTCCAGTTTGACAAGGCTGAACTTGGGAGCAAAGGACTTCAAGTTGTCTTTGTTCGGTAGCAGGGATGGTCGTGTGGGGATTCTGGTAGTTTCTCAGCCAGCTGTAATCCACACCTGTTTTTCTCACTTTCTGTTCATTTTCGATCTCTTGTATTAATCTCTCTCGCTCCTGCAGATGCCACTTCAGTTCCCGAAGCAGAGTCTTCGTCACGGCTTCTGAGCCGGGGTAGCGTGTGGGTTTGTAGGAATCATATTTTGGCCACTTCATCCAGCCAAAAAGTGGCATTTTTAGCCTGTGGAAATATTCTCACTTGTTTATTTGCACCAAACGTTGTGGTTCTGATGAGCAAATGGCAAATAAATTTGCCAGAAAAGTGTGTGAGTTTTTCACTGGTTAGGTATGCAGGTCAGAATGAGATTAGAGCATGGATTAAAGCTTTTCGTTTTCTAACTAGGTCAGTACCAAAAACCAAGCTTTGAAGATAGATTTACGTGGCGAAGCAGGAACGAAATCTACCAAGTCAGAGATGGTCTTGGGACTGAACATTCTCTGAAAATAACATGGACACTTGCTATTAAAAGTTCTCAGGAGGCTTTAAAACATTAACGGAGAGGAAGTGCTATCTGGAAGCGCCCCTCGGACTGAGGTTTGGTGCCGAAAGGGTTTTGGGCGTACCTGGTACGTTGGGTCTGCCAGCGGCTCTGCTTGACTTAGTGGCGAAGCGGTGGTTACTCGGGCGTGCGCTGGGCTCCTGGCTGTGGCCCCTGTTGGAAGGAGTGAGCCTCCTTATTTACCCACTGAAGCTGTATTTGAAATAAATAAGTTTCTGTGTTAGAAATGAGGTTGTGATGTCTTCATTTAGGGAGAATGCTCATTAATTCACCTTGTAAGCTAGACGAAATGACAAAAATAACTTACTCTTCTGCACGAATTACAGAACGGTCTACCTTCTGAATGTAGCTCCGTCTGTTTGAGAAAGATGCCAGCGGCAGTGGGCTCCGTCCTAAATGCCTCCGACTTCTGTTTGGTAATGAAGCGGAGTGACAGTGCGGGGCAGCACGGATGCGCTCCCGGCTACGGGGAGACGGTCGCGTGGTGCGCTGCTGTGCCGTGCGTAGCTGTAGGTCACAGTTTCATGCTGTATTTTTATGCCTGTAGAGCGCTAAAAATAACCCCGCTGCCTTTATTCTTCAGCTTAACTCGCGGGCCATCTAGAAGCCAGGTCACTGTCCCCTCCCATGAAAGCAGGAAAAACAGATCAGTCTTGATTTGCGAAATACCCGTTTTGTGAACATTTGTTATAATTGAGCAAAGTAGGCAAAGAAGGCTTATTATATCTGGGGGCGCCTGGGCGGCTCAGTGGGTTAAGTGTCTGCCTTTGGCTCATGTCATGATCTCAGGGTCCTGGGACCAAGCCCCACATCCGGCTCTCTGCTCAGCGGGGAACCTCCTTCTCCCTCTCCTGCTCCCACTGCTTGTGTTCTGTGTCTCTGTCAAATAAAATCTTTAAAAAATGAAAGAATGCTGGTATCTGCCTTGTGAAACGTTTAGTAAAGGTTATTTTTTATACTCATTCTGTTTCTTTTTCTAAATAGTAGTTAAATTTATGTATTTAAGCAAGTCGTAATGCCAGAGGACATAAATGCTGAAGTAGGTGACTCTGAAATATACTTTATAATTTCTTTAAAAACATAGCAGTAGTAGATTAAGGTTAGGGAAAACTTAGAGATCTAAGAACGTACAGAGTTGAAAACAAAGTCTTATGATTCAGTACAGCAGATCTAACATTCCGGGGCTCTCTTCTGGAACTGAAGGTGAGACGCTTGTACTTACTGCTTGGGCGGGTGCCGGCGGGCGGAACGCTCTAGCCCGGCTGTGCTCAGTTCAGGGGCGTGTGGTGTCGCTCAGGAGCGGACAGGTCTCTCGCCCTCCAGTTCCCTGTTAAGTGACTACATAGTGGCTTTTCCTTTTATAACATTTGTTTCTCGGTTGCCTTTTCCGACAAGTGAACCATGAAGAATAGCCAGGGTTTATATCAGACCCGAATGTCATGCCTGATCAGGACTGACGCGTGTGGTCAGCCTGGAGCTGCTGCTGCTTGCATGTGAGAAAAAGTCGGTGTCAGCCCGTGTTCTCGTCAACGAGAAGGATTTCACATCACATTGTGGAGAGTATGAAAAGGAGAGGAGAGGAAAGTTTATCACGACACAAGTGTCCTACCAGACTTTCTACCAAAGTCACAAAGAATCCTGACATGTCTCCCTTTGAATAACCTCCTTGTTACTGCTTTAATTCCTAAAATTTTGGTCTCTGAGGTGGTAAGAAACAGCTGTCGGACATACATCGGATATGGAACATAAACCCAGTTTCTTTTCGGGGCTCCGTGCAGTCTTGCGTTGTCCCTCCCTCTGCCCGGCGTTCCGGGCCGCTCTGCCCTGGAGCGTGTCCTGACGCCTCCCGTGCCCACGCGGACTGTCACAGGGCCTCACACTGACTCTGTCTTTTTTTTTTTTTAAGATTTTATTTATTTATTTGACAGAGATCACAAGTAGGCAGAGAGGCAGGCAGAGAGAGAGAGGGAAGCAGGCTCCCCGCTGAGCAGAGAGCCCGATGTGGGACTCGATCCCAGGACCCTGAGATCATGACCTGAGCCGAAGGCAGCGGCTTAACCCACTGAGCCACCCAGGCGCCCCTGACTCTGTCTTTTGAGATGTTTATTTTCTTTCTCTTTTCCATTTACCCGCATCATAATTCTTTTTTCCAGCACCCAGTTTAAATCCACCTATGTTTTTCTTTCGTCTGAGGGAAGACAGCAGCCTGTTTTCCTTGGTTCTAGTGTTCCTTTGAACTTACAGCAAGGTTGGTCTGTGTTCTTGTTCGCTCTCCTACCTGGTTTCTACTTCCTGATCAGGTTGTGCTCCGCCCTCCACTGGAATTGCTGGCTTCCTGTCACGCAGCATGTGCTTGGTGCCTGTGCGGTGGCCTGATGCTGGCTCGGGACCCAGGGAGACTGGAAGACCTAGTCTCTTCCCTTGCGGAGCCCACCTTCCAGTGGGGGGACAAGTAGGAGCACATGAGTTGTCAGTAAGCTGATCGCAGATGGGGGGCTATTGAACCCACTGGAGGCCCATCCCAGTTCCATGTGGAGGTCAGGGGAGACCTTTCTGGGGAGAGGGTGTCCTTTGACTGGAGATTTGAAGAGAAGTGAGCTACTACACAGAGAGCTTCTTTAAGACTGCCTCCCTCTTAGTTAGCACCTGTCTTGCCATTGGGACGACTGCTCACGTCTGATCCTCGCAGAGCTTTTCTTACCAGTCAGCTCACATTCGGGACACCTTCCTCTGATGTGTTGCTTGTAGAAACCTGTGTTTCTCGTACTCCAGGTACGCTACTGGTATCGTATTACCCATTGTATTTTTTCTGTCCTAGATCCCGAGATCGTTTGATTGAAATATAGCCCAAATATTCTGGTCACACTCCTGCCATACGACGGAGATGGGGAGTATAAATATTTGTAGATCAGGGTAAGAGAGCGCCTTTGTGTTGCTCCTTTCTGTTTGTTAGGCTATGATCAGATTAACTTGGATTTTAAACATTTTAGTAAGTTGAATAAATGAGTTGTTTCTAATGAATTACTACCTTAGGATATTTTGTGTGGAAGACATACAACTTAAAACTATGAAGCTGGTCAGTTTCTTTTTTGGTCTTGACAAAGACCTTTGTCTTTGCCTTCTCACATGGTGTCCAGCAGCATTTGATAGCAATGAAAGGAAGATTTACCACTGTAAGGACACTGATAGCATTTAAAAAAAAAATTCCTTTGCTACTGGATTTAAAGTTCTGGATTATCGGCTGGTAAAGATGCGGTTAAGGGGCCTAGTTTCGGCTCAGGTCATGATAACAGGGTTGATAATCAAGCTCAGCATCCGGCTCCATGCTCAGCAGGGACCCTCTCTCTCTGCCCCTCTGCCCCAATAAATAAATAAATAAATAATAAGTAAATAAATATGTCTTTGAAAAAAAGATGCAGTTAATATTTTTTAATATTTAAAGATTTTATTTATTTATTTGACAGAGGAGAGACACAGCGAGAGAGGGAACATAAGCAGGGGGAGTGGGAGAGGGAGAAGCAGGCCTCCTGGGATCATGACCTGAGCTGAAGGCAAGACGCTTAATGACTGAGCCACCCAGGTGCCCAAGATGCAGTTAATTTTTAAGGAGACACTAACCTGTCTTAAATTTTTTTTTCCCGGTATTTTTTTCTTTTAATATTTTAAAAATACACGGATGCATACACTTTTTAAAGTTAAAAGTCGCAGGGCGCTTGGGTGGCTCAGTGGGTTAAAGCCTCTGCCTTCGGTTCAGGTCATGATCCCAGGGTCCTGGGATCGAGCCCCATATCGGGCTCTCTGCTCAGCGGGGAGCCTGCTTCCCCCTCTCTCTCTGCCTGCCTCTCTGCCTACTTGTGATCTCTCTCTGTCAAATAAATAAATAAAATCTCGTCGTTCATCAGTTTATATGGCATTTAGTTTGTTGATATGGTCTTTTTGCCTTTTTGTGCCGCTGTTCAGGAAGGCCTTCTCTACTCCAAAGTTCTCGAATGTTGGAGAACATTAGCTTTCCAGGCTTAAAACCATAAGTACCTGGGGTTTGAATCTGTTTGGAATTGATCTGAGGTTGGTGTGAGGTGTAGGGTTCCCAAACTGGAGAGCCGGTATCTAAACCGAGTGGTCATTGCTTCATTCTGCAGATTTTCCATATTCTCCGCATGCCGAGTAGTTGCGTGTGTCCTGGGTGTTTTGATGTGATGGGCCCTGGGGTTTGTTTAAATCGTCTGGCGAGTGCAGCTGGGCAGCTCTGTGCCCGAGTTCTCCCAGCTGCGGGGTTCGAGGGTTCCGTTGTGTCTGTCCCGCGTGGTGCCACCTGCTGGCCGTTGTGTAGTTCAGCCCTGGGTCCTCAGTCCGTGGGGGCCGTGGCGGTCTGCGCATGCTCGTGCAGCCTCGGGGTGAGCCCACTAGCTTATGGACAGACTTCGGGTGTGGGTCTCCATTTCCCAGGTGCTCTCCTGTCCCTGAGGCAGCTCCCCTTTTCGGTCTTTCATCTCCGCTCCACCCCGTGCTTCCTGCCAGGGCAGCTGCCTGCGTTCACCTCTGGGGTCAAGCAGTGGGAGGACCCGGGAGGAGTGAGGGTCTTCGCTATCCTCTGGGAGATGGGGTTTCCCCTCCTTAGAGTCTGAGGTTCTTGCTGAGCCCTGGAACATAGAGAAAGGAGAAGAGAGAAAAATTGGGGACTGCCAGCACTTTGAGCATTTGGAGTCCCTTTGCTCCCCAAGGCACAAGAGCACTTCTGGGGTGCTCTGTCTATGCCAGGACCTGTGTCTGGATTGGGTCCTGCGGTGAGTTCAGCTCAGGGGACAGCAGAATTAAACGGTGGCAGGTGCACCACTGGTGGCCTGCCGGTGCTCGGGACGCTGGTCTGGCTCCCCGTCTGTCCGTGGCTGTGCTTCCAGAGGCTCCAGTCCCAGCCCTCGAGTTCCGGGTGGGCTCGGCAGCCTCATCCTACGGGCACGGGTGCAGCCTGCGCGTCTGGTCTTCCCAGCAGCGCCGACCAGGGGGTTGTTCTTGACTCTTGCTTTTTCGCATCCAGACCTAGTTCACCAGCATCCGCGGCTCCCCTCACCTGCCGCCGCTCTGGTCCCCGCTGCCTGTCTCTGGCCTGGGCTGTTGAGCGAGGGTGTCCGGTGCTGTCCCCGCTCTGGCTGCATCGTCCTGGGCCACCTCACCCGGCTTCTGTGGCCACGAGCCGGCCCGCTCGAACAGGAGTTCGGTATTGCTGTTTCTCCGTCCCCGCTTAGAACCCGTCGCCCTCAGAGCAGGAGTCACACTCTTTGTCATCAGCGCCTGCCAGCAGCCTGCCCCTGCCGTCCCTGGGAAACACCCCACTTTCCCGTACCTCTGGGCTCCCCCGCTGCTTCTGGCTTCCTCTGCGTCCGGACTCCGGTGGCACGCTTGGCCCAGGCTCCGGCTTCCCGCCGCTCTCCCTCAGGAGCCCTCTCCCCTCCTTGGGGTGCACGGCCCTCCTCTCGCTGCTGATCTCCGCTCTGATGTCAGCTTACCATCAGTTACGTGGCAGCCGCCCCACCCGTCTCCTCTCCTGGCTGGACTTCTCTCTGTGGACTTCTCGCTAACGTACTGTGTTTTCCTTTATTTTTTTTTTTCCTGACTAGACCGGAAGCTCCATGAGGACGGTCTGCTAGCTGCTTTTTGGGGGTGGGGGGAGGAGTGGTGGAAGAGGGAGAGACACTCTTCAGCAGGCTCCGTGCCCAGTGTGGAGCCCAGTGTGGGGCTCAGTGTGGGGCCCGGTGCCACCACCCTGAGATTGTGAACCGAGCGGAAATCGAGTCATCGCTAAACTGATGGAGGCCCCCAGGCGTCCCTGGGGCTGCCTTATCCTAAGAGCTTACGACAGTGCCTGGCGTGGAGTCAGCCCTGAATTACTAATTTGATTAATGAGTGTCAGGTAAATGCTAACCAAAAGAATGTCGCTGTTAGCCGTGAATGTCAGGCCGAAAGTAGAATTTAATAATGCAAGTAGCATCTTTTTAAAGTAAATCTTCTATTTCAAGAATTGGTATTCTACAGTCTTCTCTGTGACAGTAGGGGCATGAAATACTGATAATATAACTGATAGTGTCTTGCATATCGTATTGCAGTTGTCTTTTTTTTTTTCTTAACATCTTGGACATTTTTACCTGCTGGTATGGAAACCGCTATGGCAGTCCTTGGAAAGATGTGTAGCAAGTAGGAGCGCGCCGTGGCCGAGCTCGGCTCTCTGCCGGACGTTACAGATACTGCAGAAAGTTCCTTCCTTTCCTCGTGTTTGGGCCCTTCCTCCCTGGAGTGGCCTTCATGCCCTTGCCCTTTAAATGCCCCTGTCACTAACGAGGATGTTGTGTCTGTTACGGCTCCTCCACTGGAGGGACCCGTCGTTGAGGGCGAGGACGTCGTTTTGTTTCCTGCATGTCTTGTGTCCAGGCCGGGCCTCGCCGGAGCTGGGCGTTTGGGAGCCGGGTGAGTAGCGCTGTGCCTGCGGCGCTCCTCTGCCGCGGCGCCCATCTGCCGCGTCCCCCCCGCCGCTCGCCGAAGCCCCGGGGGGAGGTGTGCCCGCAACACGGGCAGATCGCCGGGCAGATCGCCGCTCAGGAAGGCGGATGCTCTTCCCCACTCCCCGCTCCGCTGTGACCGGAGAATGCTCCTCTTCGTCACTCCGAAGGAGGAAGCAGGCGTGGAGCGCGCGTGCGCAGTCGCTGGTGGGCCGTCGCCGCTTGCTTCGGTGACGTAAGGCGGAAGGACTATTCAGGAACCCGGGGCACGTGGGTTTCTTGGCTTCGCAGACGCAGCGCACTGACTCTGCGTGTTCTTCGCAGGCCGCTTACCCGGAGGGGCTCGGAAGTGGAGTATATCAACGAGTTCCGGCAGCTGGAAGCGCGAGAGCTGGACGAGTGCGGCGGTGCTCAGCCCGCCCGCGGGCCAGGTGAGTGCGTCTTTGAATGTGGAAAAATTAGTTACAAATAAAGCATCGCAGTCTTAAAGTCTTTAAGAAATGTACTGTTTTGCTCAAGAAAGAATCCATATTGTTAGTTAATTCAGGGTGAGTGTATATTGGGTTGTAAATCTTTTTTTTTTTTCTTTTAGACATAGTTTCTAAATAGTCTATTTTTTGGAAGGACGGGTGCTGAGCCCCAAGATCAGGAGTTGCTCACGGCACCGACAGAGCCAACTGGGCACCCTCCAGAACTGCCTAAAATTTTCATTTAAAAATGACTACAGTTTTTTAAAACAACAAACATATTAAAACAAATTTAAGTAATGTTTAACTGTATAAAGTGAAAGTTTCTTCTGAACACCTTCTCCCCACTTGGCTGTAGCTGGCGAGTCCGGGTTAAGCTGCTCACTTTCTGGGAGTGCACGGTGTCGCCTTCTCAGCTGGTGGCTGGTCAGCCCCGGGCCCAGCTTGTGTGACAGAAGTAAGCGTTCGATGTGTTGCTTTCTCACAGACTTGGTCAGCTCAAGAAGAAGCTCTTCTCCTTTCCTTCTACCCTTTGTACGCACCTCCTGGTACTTAGGGGCAGAAGTGGGGGTTAGAGTCATTTCCTTCTCAAAAACTGCAAAATTCAGTGCATATGTGACAGCACATTCACCTGTGTCCTCCTTGGGATTTGCTCGGGCTTCTTGACGGTGCAGAATGTTGGCATCTTTCCCCAGTTATGAAAAAGTCCTGAGCCATTGTCTGTGCCGCAGTGTCTCACTTAGTTCTGTTTTCTCGTTGTGTGGGTCCCTGTACTGTATCCGGGTCACCTTCCCATTGCCTGGGTTTTGGCGTACAGCAGGAGCGCATGGGGTCCTGTTCCTTCATCCCTGGGTTGTGGCCGCACCGTGGGCTTCCCTACTGCGGGCCCCGCTGCCAGGTGCCCTTCGCGTATTTCCTCTACTGCCCTCAGTTGCCCTGAGGAGGAATATTTGTCGGACAAGTCTAGCGGACTGTCACCAGAAAGGGTGGCTCAAAACGTGTGTGCACCTTGATCAGTTCTTACTCACGCTAAGGGAAGTACAGATCTGTACGTGTGAGAAGGCCGATTGCTTCCTGCATGCCTGTGGGAAGCCTTGGGGGTCTCTTAACTGCCAGTGCACAGGGAATGTGTTCTGGCCTGTGACACAGCTTCCGTAGAAGCCTGGAAGAGCCATGTCCTGTCGTGCAAAGATACCCATCATCTCCTCTTTCCGTTTGGGGAAGCTTATTAGTTTTCAGGTGACTGTGATGTGATCCTTCTGGTTCCACTATATATACTGACCCTGGGGCGTACTGGCTGCTAGTCCTGGAGCCGGCCCCATGGGAGCACCACTGTCTGAGCTAGCTGGGTTCCAGTGAGCGCCTGTAATTGGAAATGTCTGCTCTAGTAACTTTTGATTTGGGTTAATATTTAGTATTTGGAGCAGCTGTTTGTTTTCTCTGTCCCTGGCCTCCTTATATGTTTGGAGTTTTTCACTAGGCAGTCACATAAATGACAGCTTTGACTACATCCAGAGGATTCATTCAGCGACGAGGATTGCTCAAGGGCCGTACGGGGCCATGGAGGTGTACTGAGTAATAAGACCGGGGCCGCCCTCCCCAGGAGATTACCATTTCATCGTGTAGTCACCCAGACACACGCTTTTGGTGATAAATGCTCTGAAAGACAGCACTGCAGGGGCCCGAGACAAGGGTTCTGTAAGAGTTGAGCTTGGAGCTGAAGGGTGATAGGAGGTACCGGGGTGGGGCGGGGGTCAGGGTGGAGGGAACGTGTGCAGTCTGTGATGGGGAGGCCTGGGGCTCCAGCCTGGAACCAGGCATTGTTGCTGAGAGTCGAGAGTGGAGGTGGGCAGGCCTGGGCACGGTCAGTGGTGGGCTGGATAATACCCCCACAAGAGGTCATCGCAGTCCCTTGAACCTGTGACTTTGGTACCTTCCAGGGTAAAAGGAACCTGGCAGCTGGGATGACGTTAAAGAGCTGGGATGGCGTGATTGCCCGGGGGTCCCCAGTGTCATCGCAGGGTTCTTCCCCAAGAAAGGCGGGAGGATCAGAGTTCGTCGGAGGAGATGTGATGGTGGAAGCCATGGTTAGTTTGGAGTGATTTGAGGAAGGCGCCCACAGACCAAGGAATGCAGGCACGTCCAGAAGCTGAACGGGTACGGGAACAGATTTTTCCTGGAACCGTCCATCCGGAACCATCCATCCGGAACTATCCAGGCAGCAGCCATCCATGCAGTGCCTTGAGCTTAGCCCAGTGAGGTGGATTTGGTACTTGGGACTTCCTGTACTGTGAGACTGTGTTGTTTTAAGCCCTTTAGTTTATTGCGGGAGCAGTAGGGAACCCTTGCAGCTGTACTGGATGGGGCTGGATGAGAGAGGCACGGCTGATGGCAGAGGCTGTGGGCCATAGCTAGGAATTTTGGTCTTGATACTCGGAGTAGTGGGAAGCCATTAAAGGTTCTAGGTTAATCCTGGGATGAGCGTGAGAGGAGGAGGGGGATGTTGTATGATGAGAGCTGTGTTTTGGGAAGACCACCTTTGTCCTGTTGGGGGGTCAGAACAGACCAAGGAGAGTTAGGAGGGATGGTCCTGCCCAGGGGAGACTCGGTCCTGATGACAGCAGGGGAGGAGGGGCAGACATGGGAAGGACTGCGCAGGGCGTGGTGATGGGTTGGATCCCGGGCAAGCGAGGAGAAGGCCACGGGAGGCAGGAGGGTGTGGCGCCACGTTTTGAGGTGCCTCTGGATCCCTGGGGAAGAGCGATGAGGTTAACGTATGTGCATGCGCATGTGTGTACACATAGCTGTTCCTGCCTATCTCCGGGCTGGTCTCTGTCACAGCCAGAAGCTCACACCCATACCTCCAGTCCCAGTCCTGCACCACAGGTTATATCCAGTTACAAAATACCTCGTTTCCTAGTACTTTTGATCTTGCTGTGATACAGATATTATTTGATCTACATAAGTGGTTTTTTTTTTTTAAGATTTTATTTATTTATTTGACAGAGATCACAAGTAGGCAGAGAGGCAGGCAGAGAGAGAGAGAGGAGGAGGAGGCAGGCTCCCTCTTGAGCAGAGAGCCAGATGTGGGGCTCGATCCCAGGACTCTGAGATCATGACCTGAGCCGAAGGCAGAGGCTTAACCCACTGGGCCACCCAGGTGCCCTTATGTAAGTGGTTTTAAAAATTATTTGTAGGGGAGCCTCCTACACTGCTGGTGGGAATGCAGGCCGGTGGAGCCGTTCTGGAAAACAGCGTGGAGGGTCCTCAGAAAGTTGGAAATAGAGCTGCCCTGCGACCCAGCAATCGCACTACTGGGTATTTACCTCAGAGCTATAGGTGCAGTGACCTGAAGGGGCACGTGCACCACAATGTTTATAGCAGCAACATCCACAATAGCCAGACTGTGGAAAGAGCCCAGACGTCCATCCACAGATGAGTGGATAAAGATGCTGTGGTCCATACGCACAACAGAACATTAGTCAGTCAACAGGAGGAGTGCTTACTTACCATTTACGTCGACGTGGGTAGAACCGGAGGGTAGCATGCTGAGCAAAGTAAGTCAGAGAAAGAATCATCATATGGTTTCCCTCATGTAGAATATAAGAAACTGCACAGAGGGTCATCGGGGAAGGGTGGGAACACTGAATGGAAAGTCATCAGAGAGGGAGACAAACCACGAGAGACTCTTTTTAAAAAATATTTTTTTATTTAAAAATAGCTGTAATAAGGTATAACCAACACACAATAAACTATATACAAAAGAGTACAATTTGGTAAGTTTTGAGGCATGTACACATTCATGAGACCATCAGCACAAGATAGCAAGCGTACTCATCACCCTGAAAGTGTCTTCATGTTCGTTTAGAATCTGTCGCTCCTGCCTCTCCCCACCCCTCACCCCGCAACACACTCCTGCTCATGTCCTAAGGTAATGTGATCTTTTCCTACAGATTTGTGTTTCCTGGAAATTTATATAATCATACCGTAAGGACTCTCCATGAGACTCTTAACTCTGGGAAACTTAGGGTTGCTGGAGGGGAGTGGGTGGGGGGACGGGCATGAAGGAGGGCACGTGATGTGATGAGCCCTGGGGGTTACATGCAACTGCATCAGTTTCTAATAATGTATTCTATGTTAATTAATTGAATTTAAATTAAAAATTATTTCTAAATAATCCTGATTGCACACTCAGTGAGTTTCTATAAATTGTACTAGAATTGTTTTATACAGTTAAAGGTAAATCATTTTTAAAAAAATTGAGATCTAATGGCATTTCTGATTGATTGAGCCTGGTCCCAAATTGTGGACTCCTGCAGCATTTATGTTGCCTCCCCCTTTAAAAGATTTTATTTATTTGACACAGAGAGAGCCCAAGCAGGGGGAGCAGCAGGCAGAGGGAGAAGCAGACTCTCCGTGGAGCAGGGAGCCCGATGGGAGACTCGATCCCAGGACGCTGAGACCATGACCTGAGCTGAAGGCAGACATTTAACTGACCGAGCTGCCCCGTGCCCCTGTATGCTTTCCTGTAATGGCTTTGAATTTGTCCTGGGATGGAGTCTTCGGCTTGTGATTAAATGCTGCTGCCCTTTTCATGTGGTGATATTTTTAGCTGTTTCCATCCCACTCAGGGCTTTTTTTTTTTTTTTTTGCCTTTAAGAAAATGGAGTGTGTGGAATATAGACTGACTCCAAAGGGAAACGCGTCAGGTTTAATTTTGTATTCAGAATGCCATTCCGTACTTGAAAGAGTGATGTATAATGACTTATTTTGAAGATTTTTAATTGGTGATGCGGTAATTAAACTTATTTCTGTAATGTACAGTGTCTAAAATTTAAGTAAAGAAATGCTATATTCTCCAGTTCGAATCCATTATATACTGTAGGAACCCCTAACTGCTGAATTTTTTGCTTAGACTTTTACATATGCTTGATGAGAATATGGTGGGGTGGCTTCATCAAGACAAGCTAACAGGTTTTATGGTTTCCTTTTTTTCCCAGTTCATGTAAAATATTTTAATGTTAATAACTGAGGAGAAAAAGATAACAGGAGAATTAGTGAATTTTGAGCTAGACGTATTTCTCATGGCACTTTTGGATTACCCTTTGCCTTTTGTAGTTTGCTGATTTTTCCCTAAATCATCCATTTTCTTTTCTTTGAGAACTTAACGAGTGATGCTTTTCCTGGTCGCCTCCCTTTGCCTTTGTTGCTGCTGCACAGATGAAAGAGCCAGGTGGCCGTGGACATTGTCCTGTTTGGTTTCCTGTCTCCTCTGGCGGTGGCCGCGGGGACAGGACTTGATTTGTGCTGGGCGTGCTTCAGCCAGTGACCTGGAAACGCCCAACCGTGTTTGGGTTCCGAGGAGGGAGGGCTAGGCTTCAGACAACAGAGTCAAGACTTGAGTATTTTTTTCTTGTAAGATTTCTGTCTTTAAGTAGCAACCTTCAAGATGCACGTGATGAAGGAAAGTCAGTCACATCTGTGTTGTCCGAGTAATGGCTCTGTTCGCAGCACAGTGAACTACGTCTTAAAGTCTTAGCAAACAGCCTAGCTGCTGCCTTCTTGTAACGCTGAGTTTTTTTAACAACATTTTTTAAATTTTTATTTTTTAAGATTTTTTATTTATATATTTGACACAGAGAGAGACACAGCGAGAGAGGGAGCACAAGTGGGAGGAGTGGGAGAGGGAGAAGCAGGCTTCTCTCTGAGCAGGGAGCCTGATGTGGGGCTCAGTCCCAGGACCCCGGGATCATGACCTGAGCCAAAGGCAGAGGCTTAACCCACTGAGCCACCCAGGCGCGCCTATAATTCTGAGTCTTTTCCAACTTTGGCACCTCTTTGCCGAGTTCCTCCTGCATTTCTCAGTCCCACGCTATGCACAGCACGTGTTCTGTCCAGCAGTGGTGTCCCAGCTCAGGAGCTCCCGCTGCTGTGTGGATTCTTATCCTTCTTCTCTGTTAGTTAAAAGAGGCCGTTTGGGGCACCTGGGTGGCTCAGTGGGTTAAAGCCTCTGCCTTTGGCTCAGGTCATGATCTCAGAGTCCTGGGATCGAGCCCCACATCGGGCTCTCTGCTCAGCAGGGAGCCTGCTTCCCCCTCTCTCTCTGCCTGCCTCTCTGCCTACTTGTGATCTCTGTCAAATAAATTAAAAAAGAAAAAAAAAAAAAGAGGCCTTTTACTGATTGATAAACCTACCAGCATCAAGTATGGGGGAATGTGTTTATTTTCTCCCCATTTTTGTAAATATATGAGTTCTTACATTTGTGGGTTGACCTGGATACCCAGCCACCATTCATAGTTCAAAATAATTTAATGAACTGTTGGAACCAGTTTTAAATGAGGAACTGTCCAGGCATCGAATTTTGCTCCAACTCAATTTTGGCAGGTAGTGTGGTTAATTCTAAGGAGTCCTTAGTTGAGAGGACCATGGGTAAGAGGGGTGAGACCAGCGGTAGGGGTACACTTGGGAAAACAGGGTGGCGTTGGTGGTGGGGTTCTTTAAAAGCTGAGCAGATTGATGGGAGGAAAGCGAGACAGGAGAATGGAAGAAGAATGCATGTTTTTGAGAGTCTGACCAGAAGGTCGGAGAGTGGAGAGCAGGGTTTGCAGAGTTCTCCTGTGGCTGTGGCCCCTGGAGCCCTAGGAAGAGCGCTGCTGGCTGTAGAAAGGCTACCTTTGTTTGGAGAGATTGTAACAGGTCTGGCTTCTCTGTTTTTAAAATTTGGAATAAGTAGTACATACCTCGATTCAAATATAGAATAATAGTTATATTTTAATTATTATTACATTAGTTATGAAGCTGAGAATGTGTGTATCCGGTGGGAAGGGACTGTGGCATGGAGGGTACGAAGGGAATTTCCTGGTTACCTGCTTGTGTTGTTAGCTTGTAGCATGTACTTCTGCGTTTGTGTGTGTGAATGTTCACATGCTGTGTGTGTAGATGGACATGATGTTGGATTGTTTACGTCTTCCTTTTTCAGATACTTAATAGCATTGTATTCTGTCTGAACACAGGTCCAAGGCCATCCTCGGCTAAATTAAGCAATGTGACATGCATCCCAGAGACCAGTTATAAATATCCTGATTTGCCTATAAATCGGTGTAAGGAAGAGGTAAAATTATTTTTGTCTGATAATAATTCTGCTGTTTGAGTAAATGTCTGCGGCCCAACATTTTGGTTTATAGTTTGAATGTGACAAGGCGCCCAGCAAGCACACCCGGTTTGCGACGGACTCTGGGGCCCATAGGAGCACGTGCCTGGGCCTCTTAGTCTCTGTGTCTGTGGCCTCCCTTTCAGCTGCGCTTTCGTTGGTTCAGCCTCCCTCCGTGGAGATCGCTGGGCTGGTTGGAGGCGCCTCTGTCATCCCCAGCAGAGCTGCTTGGGGGGAAGCTCCCTGCCAAATCTTAATAGTGCTCCGGGCCACAGCCCTCTCTAGCGTTCTGCTGGCCTGTTAATTGATTTGATCAGTCATTAATATACCATTTTTTAAACAGTGCTGGGCCAGATATTGGAGCAGGCTGATTACACTTTTCATTAATTACACATTATTAAACTAGGTCAGAAATGAGAGTGTTGGAACCTTAAATATACTAGTAGAAGGGTCCGTTACAGGTAAAACTAAACCATAAATGTTCCAAATTTAAGTTTTGTTTTATTTTAGTGAGCCAGAAGCTTTTGTAGGGTAGATATCCTTCATTAATTTTCAGAGGCCTATATGCGAATTAATTCGTGTTCCCTGACCGCAGCAGTTGCCAGAGAGAGCAGAGCGGAGGGTGGAATCGGTGGGTGGCGGTGGGAGTCAGACTGCGGTTTGAAAATGCTCCGTAAGGTCTGTGAGTGCAGCAGCAGAGATGAATCTGCAGGTTTTCCAGTGAAATTTTGAGACCAGAGCCTGGCTGGCTCAGTGGGTTAAGCGTCTGCCTTCAGCTCGGGTCATGGTCCCAGGGTCCTGGGACCGAGCGCTGAGTCAGGCTTCCTGCTCAGTGGGGAGTCTAGTTCTGCCTCTGCCCATCCCCCCGCTCGGGCTTGCTTGCTGCTCTCTCTCAAAAAGAAAGAAAATCTTTAAAAAGTTTTTTTTTAAACCACCTGAGGGTAATAACAGCAGTGCTTTCACGTTTCTCAGGAGAATTACGTAAGATTCATTACACAATTTTAAAATAATAGACCTTTAGACTTAGCAAGACCTATAGAAATCCTTGAGTGTGTTTTCAATTTTTTAAAAGCTTTTATTTATTTATTAGAGAGAGAGAGTTCGTCAACACAAGCAGGGGGAGGGGAGAGGGAGAAGCAGACTCCTGCTGAGCCGGGAGCCCGATGCTGGGCTCGATCCCTGCACCTCGGGATCATGCCCGAGCTGAAGGCAGCTGCTCAAGCGACTGAGCCACCCAGGTGCCCAGGTGTTTTCATTTTCAGCTGGAGACGTGGAGGCCGGAGCGCTGTGGCTGACCTGCCTGGCTTGCTGGCCTGTGGACAGTTCCCGTGCTCAGTGGTCGGATTGGTTTCCACAGCAGCAGCCATTTGGTGGCCTTCTTGCTCTTATCTGTGGTATCTAGATGGTTAGATAATGATTTAACTTTCAAAGATGAAAGGAAGATAAATGTTGAACATCCTCTGAAGACAAACTTCTTATAGGCAATAGTGTATGTCATCGTTAATTTTGTGGCAACCTCAGAAGGATTTTTTTAAAATTCTAGGTTATTTCTCTGATAGAGAGTAATTCTGTGGTGATTATACATGGTGCCACGGGCAGTGGGAAAAGTACTCAGCTCCCACAGTACGTCCTGGACCACTACACTCAGCGCTCTGCCTACTGCAACATTGTCGTGACGCAGCCTCGCAAGATCGGGGCCAGCAGTATCGCCAGGTGGATCAGTAAAGAGCGAGCCTGGACGCTGGGCGGGCTGGTGGGCTATCAGGTGAGACTGAGCAAGCTGTCTGCCTCCTTGTGAATTCTTTATTCCATATAAGTTGATGATAGGGTGTCATTTTTTCCTGGAAATGGAAATGAAACCAATTATTTAAAGAGCAGAACTGTGGTGTAAGTAAAAAAAATAGTGAAACTGAATCTTTTAACAACTTTCTTTTAAATATTGTATCTATTCATTTCAAACAGAGTGAGAGGGAGTGGGCGTGAGTGAGTGCACGTGCGAATGGGGGGAGAGTAGAGGGAAGGGGGACGAGCAGACTCTGTGCTGAGCGTGAAGCTGGACGACGTGGCTGGTTTTCAGGACCTCGAAGATCACGGCCTGATCTGAAACCGAGAGCTGGACTCTCAGCTGACTGGGCCACCCAGGGTCCCCCAAAAGCAGTGAAACTGAGTTTTTTTTTTTAAAGATTTTATTTATTTGACAAACAGGTTACAAGTAGGCAGAGAGACAGGCAGAGAGAGAGAGGAGAAAGCAGGCTCCCTGCTGAGCAGAGAGCCCGATGGGGCTCAATCCAAGGACCCTGAGATCATGACCTGAGCCGAAGGCAGAGACTTAACCCTCTGAGCCCCCGAGGTGCCCTGAAACTGAATTTCTTGATAATAATTTGTTTCTCAGTTGAGCAGGAAAGAAGTGAGAATTCTCAGACTCATGGCTTTTGTAGTTTTTCTTTGAATATAGATGTCTTCATATGCTGTTGTCTTTTTTTTTTAAAGATTTATTTATTTATTTATTTATTTGAGAGACAGAGATCGCAAGTAGGCAGGGAGGCAGGCAGAGAGAGAGAGGGGAAAGCAGGCTCCCCGCTGAGCAGAGAGCTCGACTCGGGACGCGATCCCAGGACCCCGGGGATCACCACCCGAGCGGAAGGCAGAGGCTTTAACCCATTGAGCCACCCGGGTGCCCCCATACGCTGTTGTCTTAATGTAAAAATGATACAGATGAGATAGGAGTAGAGAAGCCATATTCCGTCACCCCTGAAGAAGAGAAGGAAAACATCAACTTGAGCAGTTTTTGTTTTTGTTTAAAGTAGGTTCCACACCCAGCATGGAGCCTAACGTGGGGCTTGAACTCATAACCCTGAGATCGAGACCTGAGCTTGAGAGTAAGAGTCAGATGCTCAACCGAGCCACCCAGGCACTCTAAGAACAATAGTTTTAAGTTTTGTATTTTTTACTCCTTTTCTTGCTTCTCTCCAGTAATAACTGGATATAGTCTTTTTGGGTAGGTAAATGCAAACCATTTAAACCTGAAAGTTTTCTCCTTTCTCTTTTTCTTCCCTACTTTTAGGTAGGGTTAGAGAAAATAGCAACAGAGGACACAAAGTTAATTTATATGACAACAGGGGTCCTCCTTCAGAAAATTGTTAGCGCTAAGAGTTTGATGGAATTCACCCATGTCTTCATTGATGAAGTAAGTACTTCTTTCACGCCGCTCTGCCGATACTCGTGCTCCCGTTGTAGAAGAGAACAGGGCAGGTTACCGTAAACGTGCCCTACTTGTGAAGGGTCATAAAGCACTGTGGGTCTGTATTTGTCTTATTCTATTCGTGATGTTGATTTTTTGTTTTGCTCTTAGTTCTAAAGTGCAGGCTTGGAGGTTGGGGACTGTGACCACATTCCTTGTTTAGGGTGGGGTTGGCGGACCCCAGCTCCCTGGCCAAATCTGGCACCTGTCTTTGTAAACAGAGTTTCATTGGAACATGTTTTCCTTGTTTACGGGTGCTGCTGCACTGCGGAGGGAGAGCGCGTGGCTGCGTCCGCAAGCTGACGTCTGCAAAGCTGGGCATCGTCACTGTCTGCCTTTTGCGGGGACAGTCTGCTGGCCCTGGTTTAGAGTGTTAGCCCCATCAGACGTTGCACGTAGGTATTTTGTATGCATCACAGGTATTTTCTGTCTGGTAAAACAAGGAGAATAGTGTCTTTTAACAAAACCAATAAAGTATATACAAGATACTGATATATTCCTTAAAAAAAAAACCCAAACCTCACCCAGTAAAGAATCTTTGTGCTAGTCTCACCTTTCTGGGCTTTGCTTAGGATGGGACAGTTAATTGAATTTGTTCATATTTTAAACAAGAGTTTGTTGAGTGGGGAGGATATTATATTCAGACCGTTTTCCTAGGAGTTTTGGAAATGCCTCCACCCCAAATTCTTGAGTTTTAAACTTAATTATGCCTTACGAACTTTACTTCTTGAGGCATGAGAAGCATCAGCAAAGAGATTCATGGAAGGTTGAGATGGGGCTGAAGACAGAAGCTGAAATGAAGCCATCCGGGTGGGCATGGAGGGTCAGGCCTCTCGCCTCTCTGGAAATGTGTGTGACCATTAATAACACTGATGCATACTTCAGGGTGGGAGAGCTGAGTGGGTGCATGTGCTAACTTGTGTACTGTTAGGGTTTTACTATGTTTATTAAAGATTCTATTTGAGAGAAGAGAGCGAGGGCGTGCATGAGTGTGGGGGAGGGGCAGAGGCAGAGGGAGAAGCAGGCCCCCCTCAGCAGGGAGCCCAGTGCGGGGCTCCATTGCAGGACCTCTGGATTGTGACCTGAGCCGAAGGCAGGTGCTTAACCCACTGAGCCACCCAGGCGCCCCTAAACGTGGTTTTAAGTTACTAGGGAGTGTTTGGGAGAGTTGGAGGTAGGAAAGTGATCTCTTGTTCTTTGCAAAATAGCGTGACATGTAGTACGTTTCAGGACTTTATGATTTTTGAGTGTCTTTGGGTTGGATAGAGAGCAAACGCAGATTTCATGGTGCGGTGTACTCGAAGGTGGCATGGCCAGGTTCCCAGAAGTGGCCGCTTACTGAGCCTCCCAGTCCGGGCTCTGCCCAGCAAATGCGCTGCAGGTTCGCCCTGCGCAGTTTGCTCTGGAGCCCTCCTGCTGGCACGTGTGTTTTCTGACCGTCCCGGTGGCTTCTTGTGTGCACATACGTGTGCGGGGCAGACACCCCCAGCCTCCCGTGGCACTGACCTGCTCCTTTCCTGAAGCCGCGTCATCGCAGCTGAACAGCAGTTGGCCACTTGTGGCAGGGTCTCGCCCTGCAGGGGCCTGGCCTCTCGCAGAGGACTGTTGTCACCGTTACAGCAGCTTCCCGCAGTCCCGTAGCCCCGGCACCTGACGGGCGGCTGATAAGTATTTGCTTCAGCCGAGATGAGATTGGCTTGTACTTGAAGTTTTAGGGCGATCAGCGGTGCCGTTCCTGCCGTGGGGGTGACCGAATGTCACAGGAAACCTGAGAGCAGAGGCTGGGGGTAGCCCGGCGGCTGAACACGGGCTGATGGTGTTTATGACTTCTCAGCTCTTGAAAAACAACGAACTGGTTTTGGGTGAGCAGCTCATTCAGGAAGCGTTTTTCCAGCTCTGGCCTCGTGGGGCCAAGGCCACAAAGCGGGGTGAGTCCCGGGGGCGGTTCCCGCTGCAGCGCGGAGGGGCCGTGGGCATCCCGGCGCGGGGGGCGAGTGGGGTCCTCAGAGAGGGGGAGGAGGCAGCGGGGTGGCCTCGGGGGCCCGGGGACTGTGCTTAGAGGCAGCGTGCGGGCGCCACGGGAGCTGAACGTGAGGAGACGGGGCGGGGGCTCCTCACCGACGAGGGCGCGCGTGTCGGGAGCTGCTCCGGAGTGTGGCGGGAGAGCGCGGCAGGGATCCGTTTTTCTCGGTGTTTCTCGGGTTTGCAGCCGTGGGCGCGAGCGTTCAGTACTTTCCCGCGGCTGTTTTGTGCTTGTTCCATTTCCTCCGTCCTCCCGGCCTCCGCCTTCAGAGGCCTCGAGGAAGGGCGGGCCTGGCGCTGTGGAGGGGGGGGGGGAGCGGCCCGTCTCAGGCGTGGTGGCTCATTGCTCCGCTGCGGCCGGACGGCCCGAATAGAGTCTTGTGTCCCTGAGGCTGCGCGGGATCCCGGCTAAGTGACCAAGCCACGGGCTCTGGCGGAGAACCGGCCCCACGGGGCCGCGCTTTGCTGCCCGCTGCTCCTGGGGTCGCCGAACGGGGCCGGGGGTTCCCTGGGGCCTTGGGGGCTCTGCTTCTAGGCGCCCCTGACGGAGTGGATGCAGCTGCTTTCCCTGAGCGGTGGAGCTTTGGGGACCCACCCAGGGGTGACCCCCTTGACACCGGTTTGCTTTCCCCACTTTTGGCGGACGGGACCATTCAGGGCCCCCCCGGCGTCCCCGGCTCTGCGCGGCGAGGAGGGACACGCTCCTGCCGGGCCGCTGAGCTGAGCTGCTGCGACCCGCGCAGACGGAGGCCGAGGAGTGCGCCTGGCGGGGGCGGCCGGGGCGGCGGGCCGTGGTTCTCTGCGCGGGTGTGGGGGCGGGTGAGCTTGTTAGAGTGACCAGGGCAGGACCGGCACTGAAGGGCCAGGCCCAGGGTGCGAGACGTTTCTCTGCCAGCAAGGCCTCAGAGAGAAGCTGGGGGACAGGGTGGGGGGCGGGGAGCGGGCAGACTGGGACCCACACGCCTCTTCTGTGTCCTCCCGTTGGTGGCCCGTGTTCCTGGCGTCCTCTCACCGGGGCGCATCAGTCCCAAGGAAGTGTGTTTGGCGGAGAGAGCGGGTTTGTGCCCAGGCTCTGGGTGCGCCATCGAAACCACGACCCGCCTTCGCTCCCCTTCGCTGGGCGGTCCGGCGTGTGTGGCTTCACGTGGGGGGCGCCCCGCTTTTGTGTTTTGTAGGTCCACGAGCGAACCGAAGAAATGGATTTCCTGCTGTTGGTAGTCCGCAAGCTTTTAAGAACAAATTCTCGTTTTGTGAAGGTAAATTTGATTTTATGAGTAACAGAAATATGTGGGGTTGAGGTTTACTATTTAGCTGTATTTCTCTTTATTTTTATAGAAAGAATTGAAAGCAGTGACTCTTAAAATTTGTTGTCACGTATGTGTCTCCATGTCTTGCTAGGAAGCCGGCTCAGGGGCGTTTTCTTTTTTTAAGATTTTATTTATTTATTTATTTCTCAGAGAGAGAGAAAGAGGGACAAGCAGGCAGAGAGGCAGGCAGAGGGAGAGAGAGAAGCAGGCTCCCTGCTGAGCAAGGAGCCTGAGGCGGGACTCGATCCCAAGTCACTGGGATCATGACCTGAGCCGAAGGCAGCGGCTTAACCCACTGAGCCGCCCAGGCGCCCCACAGGGCCGTTCTCTTAGGAGGGAGTATGAAGCGCTTTTCGGTCGTTATGTTGCATCCAGTTCTGACGTTCTCTCCCGGCAGGAAATGATGTGCGAGCGGCTGACCGCGATGAAGGGCTGCGCGTGGCAGCGCTTGTGTGGAAAGTGACCGCGGTGTGAAGGCGTGTGACCACGTCTGCGCTCTGCTCGGCGCACAGTACGAGCACAGGAAGCCTGAGTGCGGTTGCGGGCGCCGCCGTCCCGCAGACTCTAGGTCTTGAGCTAACAGAGTCGGTGCGGTGTGAGCTTTGTTTGCGTCTTACGTGAGCTAAGAGGAGTGAGGTGTGACCCGGACCCAGATAAGGAGCGATTATGACAGTTGTGCGTTGTGGACCCAGGCCATCCCTGTATGTGGGGACCGGTTCCCGAAGGGCAGCCGGTGACAGCATTTGCTGCTGTTGGAGAGCAAGCTGCTTTCTAACCCTGTGCCTTGTCTTCTGCTGGGTCGTCTCTGCCTTTGCTGAGGGAGCGCTGCTTCTCCTTGGCCTGCCCCCAGGATGGGCCGCCGGCCGCTCCTGCCGTGGGCGCTGAAGGAATGGAACCTGACATTTGCACAGGATTGTCTTACTGCTCAAGGAGATTGTAAAAACAAAGCAGGAATTGGGGTGTCTTATTCCTTTTTGGACTCTTAAAAGATGGCATTAAAGATTACTGAACAAATTGGGGCCTTTTTTGGTTGTCATCTGAAGACTTTTCCTTTCTACTTTTAGATATTAATTATATTCTTTTAAAGTTCTCAGTAGGAAAGAGAACGAAGATTACTAGTGGATTTGAAAAGCCTACCACAGTGCGGAGACTGGTGGTCAGGAATTTGGTACCCATCATATAAATCATAGGAAACCATTGGTTTCAATATTTTCTTGATTTATTAAGAAACATGAAGCAGAATATTTTCTGGGCCTAGAAATTAGAAGTCAAGTTCTAGATTGCATTGTTCCAAGTTTTTTGAAATGTTCAAAAATTCTTTTTGTATTTTTACAAAGGGAGCTGCTGTCAGATACTTAGTTCAGGATTGTGAGCAGACAGGCCTGAAGGTCTCCCCTTCTGCCACACAGACCCATCGAGGTTCCTGGCTCTGTGCTGTCCCTGAAGCTGCTGACCATGCTCAGCCCAGTCCCACCCGGGACCAGCAAGTGTCTTGGGCCGCCATGTTGTCTCTCGGAGGAGAGACTTGTGGCAGTGTGGAATCTTGGTTGCCCTGAGCAGTCCGATTTTGCCTGATGTCCTCACGCCGCCTCAGCGGAACCAAGGTCCTGCATGTCGTTAGCCTCACTGTGCGCCGGTGGACCGTGCAGAGATCACCTGTGCCTCGGAGTGCTGTGGGGGCCACTCTTACAGCCGAGTGGCTCCTCTGAGCCTTTCTTGCAACATCAGGCATCTCTTCTTAAAGTGAATTCTGGTTAATAGCTTTTTACCCTTTCGACCTAATGTCAAAGGAGAAAACAGGCATGGCTTGTGTGCCCACTAACTGCTGATAGCGCTTGTAGAAAGTCGCTACTTTTCTGCTGAGATGTGCAGGGAGATCCTGCTTGCCAGGACCAGGTGGGCAGTCAGCGGCCGGCGGAGCTGTGTTTACCTCTGGTGAGCGTTTCTGAGGCTGGTGGGTGGTGGACATCCTTCGTGGAGCCCCCGCCTTGTCTAGGGCACGTGTGATGTCCTGTGGGGGCTGCTCCTGGTCTTCACGGCTGAGTTTCTTAAAGGTGCTGTCTCATACTGGCTTTCTGGCAAAACCAGCACCTGTGGTGAGTGCCCAAACCTCTGTGTCCTGCTCATGTCTGGTCTGGTTCCTCTTGGCTTAGAAGCAGGGTTTTCTGACTCCGTGTCTGCCTTTGCTGCTCTGCTCCCTCACTTTTCTGTAACACCTCATCTAGTAATGTACCCCGTTTTACTTTTGTTTTCTGTTAGTTTCCTTTTATATACATGGGCATAATTTAGCTTTATTGGACATGTAGTTTCTCACTTGATAAAATTATTTAAGGTCATAAATAATTTCAGTAATAAAAGGTGGAGTCTCCGAGGGGGCGGAGTCTCCGAGCGGTCTTCCAATTGTAGTGATTCGTATTACACTGGAGAGGAATCAGCGTGTTCTGCTAAGGTTTTGAGACAAGCTTGGCGTTGTGACAGTATTTCATTTCCGTTGTTATTATGACGACTTTATTTAACAAGTTTCTCTTATTCTGTAGGTAATCCTGATGTCGGCCACCATCAATTGTAAGGAGTTTGCAGACTACTTTGCTGTTCCTGTTCAGAACAAGATGAACCCTGCATATGTTTTTGAAGTGGAAGGAAAGCCCCATTCAATTGAAGAGTATTACCTCGATGATTTGGGGCACGCGCATCACGGCAGGGTGCGCTGGAGTGCGTAGTTTCTTTTACAGTGAATGGAATCTTGTGTTTGGTCAAACCCGTTCATCAGCTGTGGTTGTTCCGACCGACCGTAGCTGAGCTTGAGTCCGAGCTGGGAGATGCTGGGCAGGGGCCGGGGGGGGCGCACTGGAGAAGAATAAGTGGAAGGAACCTCCTGCCTTTCTTGTAAACTGTGAGTGTGTGAACACTCAAATTGTATGTTCTGGTGAAAGTCATTGGACTGGCTTTCTACTTTGTTGATGAAAAATGTCAGATTTTGGTCGTCTACAAAGATGTAGATTCAGTTGGGGGTGGGAAGTAATTGTATTTCAAATTTTATTTTGATTGAACTGCTTTTTTTTTTTAAATTTTAAAAGATTATTTATGTATTTGCGTGAGACAGCAGAGTGAACGAGAAAGGATAGCACGCGTGGAGCGGGGAGCTGCGGTGGCAGAGGGAGGAGCAGGCTCCTTTCTGAGCAGGAAGGCTGGTCCCGGGACGCCGGGATCATGATCTGGGCAAAGGCAGCCGCTTGAATGACTGAGCCCCCCAGGCGCCCCTAAACTGCTTCTTTTAATACAAAATGCACTGCCGTGGCCTGGAGGAGGGGCGTGTGGTTGCAGGGAAGAACCCGGCCGCGTGTTCCCATGAACCGCTGCAACTGAGTCTGCGTGATTTTCACGGGGGCAAGACGTTCACAGGATTTGAAAATCAGAAAGTATGAGCAGGTGTAAACTGTCTCCTTCTGGCTGCTGTCCTCTGCCCAGCTTCTCTGCCGGCAACAGGAAACCTGTACTGATTTCTTAGGAAACGATAAAAACAAAACAAAACAAAAAAACAATTGACACGCCTGCACGAGCCCACGCAAATGTGCTGCTTCCCTGCACGGAAAGGGCGGGCTCCTTCTGCAGGCGCCTGCGATCTCGCTCAGCTTTTCACGTTTTTTCTTGTCCGTGTGTAGTTTCTTCATTCTCTTTCTAGAGCTGTGTTCTTTCCAGTGCATATGCCCTTCTCTATCTCACTCGTTTCTGGTGTTTCTGGGCTTTTTTTTTTTTTTAAAAGATTGATTTATTGATTTATTTAGAGAGGGGGCAGGGGCAGCAGGAGAGGGAGCCAACTCCTCTCTGAGGGCAGAGCTGGGTGCAGGGCTCCATCCCAGGACCTGGGGATCCCGACCTGTGCTGAAACCGAGTCTGCCCCTTGACCGACTGAGCCGCCCCGGGGCCCTTGGACTTCTCTTACTAGCGACAGTGCTGCGGGAGAACAGCTCTGCGCATGCGACAGTGTGTCTTAGAGGCCAGGCTCTCGTAGCCTCAGGGGCCCTGGTGACATTTTAGGCCACTTCTGTGTGGTGTGTGGTGGGGGTGCCCTGTGCATTCACTGTGGGATGCTTAGCGGCACTTCTAGCTTTGACCCACTAGAAGCAAGCAGCCCCCCACTGTGACAACCAAAAACGTTTGCAGACCATCCCTGGGGAGTAAGCCGCCCGCGTGGAAGACCCCTGTGTAGGTGAGGCCTTCCTAGAAGATCAGTTCCCGGAGGTGGCATTGCTGGGTCGGCTGGTTTGGGCGTCTGTAATTCCCACGGGTGGGCCGGACTGGCCCATGGAAGAGTGTGACTTTCGTTACAGACCCTTGTGGTGCGGACGTGGGCCGTAGCTGGACCGCAGCTGAGTCGGCTCACTGGGCTCCACCTAATGTAAGAAGATGCCGCTTGTCAAATCTGATTGCGTGGGCTGAGGCCGGTGGCGGGCACCGACATGTCGCACGTCTTGTTTTTCCAGCTTTCTGAAGGACCTGCTTCAAAAACCAGGAGAGTCAAAAGAATTTTAGAACGAACCCCTCCATACCTGTCACCGGGCTTCTATGGGCCACGTTTAGTTCGTAGCATTGAAGACCGGTCAGAGTGAAGAAACTGTTATATTGCTATAACTGAACTTGTATTTATTTAGATTTTAATGGTTTTCCCCCAGTTTCCTATTTCTGTCCTAGGGTCGCACATCGCTAAGACTTGTCATGTGTCCTTAGGCTCCTCTGGGCTGAGGGTTTCTCAGATGTTTCTTATTTTTGAGGACCTTGTAGTATTTAGGAGTTCTACTTAGGTTTTCGTAGGACACCCGCTTTGAGAAATTTATTTTTATTTTTATTTTTAGTTTTTAAAATATTTTATTTATTTATTGACACAGAGAGAGAGAGGACACGTGCAGAGAGGCAGGCAGAGAGGGGGGGAAGCAGGCTCCCCACTGAGCAGAGAGCCCAATGCAGGGCTCGATCCCAGGACCCTGAGATCATGACCTGAGTCAAAGACAGAGGCTTTAACCCACTGAGCCACCCAGGTGCCCCGGCTATGAGAATTTTTCTGATGTTTTTCTCAAGAGTGCACTTGGGGCTGTGTGTCCGCGGAGGAAGCCCCCAAGGGCGAGGTCTGGTATTGTCAGGCCGTGACCACGACATGGGTCATCCCCAGCGATGCTGGCCTTGACCTTCTGGCCAAGGAGGTATTTGCCAGGCTTCTCCCCTGTAACGCCACTGCCCCTTTGTTTCTCGTGTGTGTGTGCGCGTGTGCGCACACTGTGTACATGTGTGGTTTGTTTCTTTGCTCTTTGCCTGTCACCCTGGTGAGATGTAAGCAGGGTACGGAGGGACATGTTCTTTTCTTTGCTCTTTGGGAACAAGGTGCTAAGTGCAGCCCATATTCAGGGGGGAGGGGAGAGGGCACTGATTTGTCATATTTAAAAATTTTCCTTTTCTTAGATTTTTTTTTTCTTTGCATTTTCTGACCCATTTTGGCATGTGAGAATAGCAGTGGTTTGCAAGTCTCTCTTTAATTGGCTGCTAAGTGTTGGAATCACTTAGATGATTACTCCGGGATGTGCAGAGAAGCTGGGTTAGGCCTGAGCATTTGCCCTCTGAGTCTACACGATGTGGACGGCCAGGGCCTCTCACCAGCCAGTGGCTTGTGTTCCACAGGCTGGAGAACACCGGGTCTTAGTGTTCTATACCAAATAGCGCGGTGCTTATAGGTGCTCAGTAAATATTTCTATGAATGGAAACTTAAGACCTAACTAGATATTAACTTTAAGCCTTACTAAAGTTGTGTTTTGTATAGATTCTGCTGGATGGTTTTTGAGGTCAGAGGACTTTGGTTATAATTCTCATTTTATTGTTACTCTTGCCATCATATTATCTGGGTGTACTATCTAATGTCACTAGGAGAAGCACCCAGGCTTTCACCTTCCTGTCTTCTTAGGGACCTTTTCTGATTCACTGTTTCCCCCTCCTTACTTTACCCTAACTAGCTCCTTCTCTCCTGTCCCTTTCTTGTCCCCATTTATTTATTTAAAAAATTTTTAAAAAAAATTTAAATTCAGTTAATTAATATATGCTGTATTATTAGTTTCAGAGACAGAGATCAGTGATTCATCAGTCTTGTGTAATGCCCAGTACTCACTATATCACGGGCCCTCCTTAATGTCCATCACCCAGTCACCCCATCCCTCCACCCTCTTCCCCTCCAGCAGCCCTCAGTTTATTTCCTGTGATTAAGAGTTTTTATGGTTTGTCTCCTCCCTGATTTTGACTTGCTTTATTTTTTTCCTCTCTCCTGTGCTCCTGTTTTGTTTCTTAAATTCCACATATGAGTGGAATCATACAATAATTGTCTTTCTCTGATTGACTTATTTCATTTAGCACAATACCCTCTGGTTCCATCCACATTATTGCACATGGTGAGATACCGGTTTTCGATGACTGCGTAATATTCCGTTGTGTGTGTGTGTGTCCCACATCTTTTCTGTTCATCTGTTGATGGACATCTGGGCTCTTTTCATAGTTTGGACGTTGCTGCTATAGACAGTCGGGAGCACATGCCCCTTCAGATCACTACAATTGTATCTTTGGGGTAAATACCCACTAGTGCAATTGCTGGGTCGTAGGGTAGCTCTATTTTCAACTCTTCGAGGAATCTCCATGCTGTTTTCCAGAGTGGCTGCAACAGCTTGCATTCCCACCAATGGTGTAGAAGGTTCCCCTTTCTCTGCATCCTTGCCAGCCTCTGTTGTTTCCTGACTTGTTAATTTTAGCCACTCTGACTGGTGTGAGGTGGCATTTCAGTGTGGTTTTGATTTGTATTTCCCTGATGCCGAGTGATGTTGAGCATTTTTTCCATGTGTCTTTTGGCCATCTGGACGTCTTCTTTGCAGGAATGTCTGTTCAGGGACACCTGGGTGGCTCAGTCGGTTAAGCCACTGCCTTTGGCTCAGGTTGTGATCCCAGGATCCTGGGATCGAGTCCTGCATCAGGCTCCTTGCTCAGTGGGGAGTGTGCTTCTCATTCTGCCTGCTTTTGCACGCGCTCTCTCGCTCATGCGCTCGCTCGCTCTGACAAATAAAATCTTAAAAAAAATTCATGTCTTCTGCCCATTTCTTGATTGGATTATGTGTTCTTTGGGTGTTGAGTTTGATAAGTTCTTTATAGATTTTGGATACTAGCCCTTTATCTGATATGTCATTTGCAAATTCTTCTCCCATTCTGTCGCTTGTCTTTCAGTTTTGTTAACTGTTTCCTTTGCTGTGCAAAAGATTTTGATCTTGATGAAGTCCCAGTAGTTCATTTTTGCCTTTGCCTTGCCTTTGGAGACGTGTCTAGGGGGTTGCTGCCTGTGTTCTCTAGGACATTGATGGGTTCCTGTCCCACATTGAGGTCTTTCATCCATTTTGAGTGTATTTTTGCGTGTGGTGTAAGGGAACAGTCTAGTTTCATTCTTCTGCATGCGGCTGTCCAGTTTTCCCAACACCGTTTGTTGAAGAGACTGTTCTCTGTTGGACATTCTTTCCTGCTTTGTTGAAGATCAGTTGACCATAGAGTTGAGGGTCTATTTCTGGGGTCTGTTGTGTCCTGTTGATCACTGTGTCTGTTTTTGTGCCAGTACCATACTGTCTTGATGATTACAATGAGAAAAGCTTCCACTTTCCACACAGATGACAAGATGGAAAAACTCACC